GGCTGATATCATTGGTCAATATTGAGAACCCATGGTTTTACTGGTATCAATGAAAGCATCACTGATAAAAGGCCGATAATTACCAACTTTTTTGGTTCAGAATTCAAAATTGTGATCTCCAAAAAAATATAGTTATGACAACAAAAACGTAAACACAAAGCTCGTCTATAGCACAAAAAACATGTTAACACAGAAAACATTTTCGTATTGGGTTAACTAATTAATAAGTAATATAAGAGGTAAACCGCAAAGTATTCTGGGTAACTCCATGCCCAGCATGACAATTTTTAAATTATTTGACTTGTTCATTCAAGCTTAAGGAGTTTGTAGCACTGTCTAAAAAATATTATTAGAGCATTACATTAAAATCTAACTGGTCTGATTAGATCTTTGAATGATGGATCTACTGTCAAAGGTTTTAAAACAAATCGGTGGGTAAACATGGGTTTGTGGGTTTGTATTCATTAAATGTGAAAGACAGTAAACTAAACTTATGATCTGGGACATGGTTTACATACAACATATTATATATATACGCAAGGATAACTGTATCATCCCATTTAGTAATCAGCCATTTTGTAAAGTGTTTAAGCTCTGTGAAGCTCTCTACCAACTACAAGACCTAAAGTCACAAAGTTGACAGTAAAAGTCAAACAATTAAAAAGGAGAATTCTGTACAGATCGTTAAAAGAACATGAACTGATTCATTCAAAGTAAAAAACAAAGAGAAGATACAACCTTTGCACATCAATTTCTAGAGTAACGTAATTTCCATTTTCCACATCACGAACTCTGAACCCATTTCACCTCCTCAAAAATTATATTATTTTTAAATAATATACAAAAAAAAATTAACAAGCTGTTGCAAAGCTTTTTAGATGCATTCTTTCACTTTTCATCTTATGATACCTTACATGGCATCATCATGCAACTGTATGTGGTTGAAATCAAAGATGCTGTACTACAACTGCTTTCAAAGTAACTAATGAAAAGAAAAACGGTTACAGCTGACAAGTTTTGTTTATGCAAATTTAGAGTCTAAACACACTTAATAACCTTGCAATGCCATATTATGTGGGTAATGGTAGAAACACTCAGTTTGAAAGCTTATAACAGAAAAAAATATATTAAAATTTTTTTTTAAAAAACGCAGCATGTGTTTCTCTGTAAATGAAACTGCTTTTCTTGGCCTACAGATCTTGACGCAACAACTGATTCATTCTTCAACTGTGGACGAATCTGAGCATCAGGACCCGAGCAACAGAAACATGCAGTGGAAGTGGAGGCACTGCTGTACAAGCATAGCTGGACTTCTAGTTTTGCTCTTGTGTGTGGGAGTGTTCCTCATCGTCAGCGAACACAGCCTGCTGGCAGGAAAGAAGAGCCACCAGGAGTATGGTGTAACTCGCATACCACCAAGGTCTGAGGGAAACCTCAGCTCCATTCTGGAAGACTCCTCCCAGCAAGGGCTGAAGAACTCTGTGGAATCTAATGCCAGTTTAAGCAAGGAGGTAAGAGCAGGTAATATCCCTACGATAGAACCCTACAACTACATTATCAATGAAGAAGACAAGTGTCAGGAAAAGAATCCTTTCTTAGTGTTACTGATTACCGTTGAGCCCCAGAATGTTCAAGCCAGGGATGCCATTAGGCAGACGTGGGGGAATGAAAGCGTGGCTGAGGGCTTGGGGTTTGTGCGGCTCTTCCTTTTCGGCATGACAGAAGGACTTACCAGCCAACTGCAGCGCTCCATAGAGGCAGAGTCTCAACAGCATCATGACATTATCCAGCAAAAGTACATAGACACATATTACAACCTTACCATCAAAACACTGATGGGAATGCATTGGATAGCAACGTACTGCCCTGGGGCCAGTTATGTCATGAAGACAGACAGCGACATGTTTGTCAATACAGAATACCTCATCCAAAAACTTCTCAATCCAAGCCTTCCGCAAAAACGAAAGTATTTCACTGGGTATCTCCTGCGTGGTGAGCCCCCACATAGAAACAAAGACAGTAAGTGGTACATGTCGCCGGAGCTGTACCCCGACCACGTGTACCCTACTTTTTGCTCAGGAACTGGATATGTCATCTCAGGCGACCTGGCAGAGCTGATCTACAGGACTTCTCTGAGCACACGAAGGCTGCATCTTGAGGATGTTTATGTAGCGATCTGCCTGGCAAAACTGGGAATAGAGCCAGTGCCACCGCCTAACAAATTCCTGTTTAATTTCAAGCGGGTCCCATACTCCAGCTGCAAATACAGCAATCTGATAACCTCTCATGGGTTCCTTGCCACTGAGATAATAAAGTACTGGCAGGACCTACAGAGGGACAAGCACAATGCCTGCGACAATACAAGTTTGCAGGCTTAGCCAAAAACAACTGGAACTGGAACACCTCTGGAAAATTTTCATCGGAACTAGGGCTGGGTGATACAGAAAGAAATCTTACCACGATAATTCACATTTATCATATCAGTCAATATTGATATATATCATCATAGAAATCAAATCACTGTTTCTGTTACACTTAAAGGTTCCTTTTTTCCTCATATGTGAGATGTGAAGATATCATGATCTCAAGATCTATTTTCCTTTAAATATTATTTTTTTCCTGTTAGACGTTGAACATGAAAAATGTACTGTACAACATTATGCAGCTGTATTTCAAGTAAATAAAACAGGTATGTGCAATAAACTTCAATCTTAATTCTGACCAGTTAAAAGCTTCACATGTTACAGGACAACAGAAACAAAATGGACAACTAAATTCTTTGGTCAATTCCAAATAAATAAAGAATACAAAATGAATTTTTTTAAATTCTGGCCAGTCAAAGGCTTTCAGGTTTTACAAGAGAACACAAATGTTTCGGTCAAATCCAAATAAATAAAATAAAATCCTAATTCTAAAATTCTAAAATGTTAAATCTAAAACTAAAATCTCAAAGCTTTCAAGTTTTACAGGAACGCACAAAGTCATTTTTTTGGTCAGTTTCCGATAAATAAAGTAGGTATTAACACAAAATAAAATGAGAAAACTCCCAATTCAAACTGTTTTAAATTTTTGGGAAACAAATCCACCAATGAATAGCCAAAAAAAAAAAAACTTTCTGTATATATTCTCAGTGCATTTTCAAGCAGCTTTAAAATGTAAACAAAAGAGAACATAAACAAAACTGACAATCATCCAATTGCGGTTAGCTTATGCTCCATGGCAAAAAAAAAGAGAAAGTCACCTGAAATCCTCATTAGCGCGGTACTGTCTCTCTTTGCTGTCAATGTTTTGGACCAGATATTACCCTACTACAGGTTGTGGGCAAGGAAGACAAGTCATATCTAGAAACATAGTAGTTAAACTGTCTTGGAATTTACCATCATGTTACCCAAAATAATTACCCTGTACTTTGGAGTGTGTACCTCACACTTACCTGGTTAATACCTAATGCTGTAAAAGAAGGCATTGTCAAAAGAGTTATTCCAGCACTACATCTACCATTATAGCTTGCTTTACTATAATTTAGGGATATAATGTATTTTTTTTTTCATCTTAAAATCATGGAAAACTGAGAGAGTCCTATTGAATGAGCTGTTCTTATGACCTGAACACAGAGACCTTCTAAAGAATTTGGAAACTATTTTGTTTCCTGTTTTTACTTGTTTCTACGTGCAGACTGACACATTTGTAGCATCACTTGGTTCACAGTGACTCAATACAGTAAAGCAAACTTAAGGCAGCTCCAAACTAAGCTCAATAAATGTACACCATCTAAAGATGTTAAACTAGCCTTCCTGATGATGTAAGCTATTAGGTCACATCCTGGAACTACTGACTCTTCAATCCTGAGGCAAAGAAAATCTAGAACAGTTCGCTGAGTATTGTTATTTATTGTTACTTGTTACCTGGTGTGCTTCTCTAGTATGTGAAATACCCTTCTTGTATGTGCAGTACCTCCCTCTCCCTTTGCCCCAGTGTATTTCTATTTCTGTTTACAATTTTATATGTAGGGGCATACTGTTGTAGTATAAGAATTTCACTGTATTTTTGAAATCCCTGTATTCTGACACGACATATTAAACCAGTCTTGAATCTTGAACCTTTGCACAAGTAACCAATCTTTAACAGAAACATACTTTACACCTCAGTGTCTTTTTTGCCTCTCTCAACAAACAATTCAATAAGCTACCAGAGTGCATCTAACAATAAAAGCAGCATGGAGCTTCTTTTACACAGTAGAACAAAGACACTCTAATTGCACATGTTGATCAATTTTACTACCAGCAACGTGGACATGCACACTCACCAACTACTCTGGACAGCAGATTTTAAAGAGGAGTTTCACTTATTTCTGCATAATTACATTTGTCAATCAAACATGGATACAAACATGAAATACAAGCACAACGTCTTTTCAATGTGTTCGATACCGTTAGCAGTTCTGCCGTCTTCTTGCCCTTCAGGACCACTGCTGGCTGGATATTTTTTGCTTGACGGACTATTCTGAGCAAGCTGAATCTAAACAATGTCTCTCTTCTCTTTTGTAAAAATAAATCATTTTTAGACATTTTATGACCTTTAAAGTCTTTTATAAGACCTTATGAGATGTTTCTACCATAACCCTTTTACATTATAATACCTCCATGTGTAAAACTGTCTGAATCGTGTCGTGTTTCTCTCACCTTCCCGCTGCTCTGTAGAATAGTGGTCCTCGTCCTCCACACCCGCTCTCTGCTGACGATATCTCTCGTCTCATCCACTTCAGTGTCCACAAAGCTCCTCTGCTTCAGGGTGATGTCATCATCCAGGTCTGTCTTGATGGAACATAATTTTGGCCTTGATGGCAGCGATCTTCTCCACAGACATTGCCTTTGACAGCAACCTGGGGACAACAAGAGGGATTATAAAGCAGCTAATGCCAAATGAAGAGAACCAGGGTCAGTACATCCAACGATCAAGAGCAGTCCATCAGCTGGGTCGTATATCTGCCCTTTGAGACACCCAGGCAAAGACAACCAAATAATAAAGATTATACTTATGATTGTCTATATAAATCGTCAAACCTTAGAGTACCCCCAGAACGAAAACACACTTCCTGGAATTCATTAAGACGATGTTCAGTAATAAGCACACAGAGATAGCTCCTCCAAGATGGGAGGGTAAAAAAATCTGGTATCTTCCCTGGTACCACCTGAAGAAGCCGGAGCAAATCTGCGTTGTCTTCAGCTCCTGTGAAGGGTATCAGGGGGTCTCTCTGTCAATGATGTGCTGCTCAGAGGACCTGATACGAACAACATTCTTGTAGGGGTGCTTGTGAGGTTCAGGAAGGAATCTGTGGCTATCACAGCTGGCACATCGGTCATACGTTTCACTGTTTTGTGGTGAAAGAGGCCCAGCAAGACTTTCTTTGGCTCCTGTGGTATCGCAACAACAACCTCGACAGTGAAATGTGGACTTCAGAATGCAAGTTCATGTCTTTGGGAATAGCCCTTTCCCAGCTGTTGCTATTTATGGCCTAAGGAGAGCAGCCAGGGAAGAAGAAAATGACTTTGGCAGTGATGTGCGAAGGTTCATTACGTGCGAGTTTTACATCGATGCGTTAAAGTCTTTTCCCACCAAAGAAGAGGCCATCAGCACCCACAAGTGGACTTAAGAAATGCTTGCTGTCTCCAAACTTAGATTGCATAAAGTTGCCTCCAACAGACAAGCTGTCATACATGCCTTCAGCCCTAAAACCCGGGCCAAAGATATTTAAGACTGGAACCTCTCTACTGAGGATCTGCCCTTGCAACAGAGACTGGGGGTATCCTGGAAAAAAGAAGGAGAAGTTACTGCCGAACGAAAATCCTTCACCCGAGGAGTTCTGTCCGCAGTGAACAGCATCTACGATCCTCTCGGCTTCCTCCCTCCAGTGACAGTACAAGGAAGACTGCTTCTACAAAATCTCTCCATGCAAGCTAAAGATTGGGATTCACCTCCTCCAAAAGACATGGAAACAGACTGGAACAGATGGAGAGACTCAGTCACTCGCTCCCCTTTCTTGTCGACTAATGCTCAACACAAGGAACTCTGCGTCTTCGCGGATGTGTCAGTGAAGGCAGTTGCAGCCGTGGCTTATTTGAGGACAGCCCACAATACAGGTCACGTAAAAGTTGGCTTTGTCTTTGGGAAGGGCAAAGTTGGCACTACAATCAGTCTTCTCTTTCCCTCGATTTGAGCTGTGTGCGGCGGTGCTGGCGGCCGAGATTACAGATATGATAGTGGAAAAAATGGATCTGAAGTTTAATAGCATTAAGTACTACACAGGCAGTAAGGTAGCGCATGACTACATGCACAACGGACAAAGAGATTCTATGTCTATTCGAGCAACAGAGTTCAGTGAATTCACCAATCTTCAGCTCCTGAACGGTGGCGGTATGCTCCCACCGGTTCTAACTCGGCAGACTATGGGTCAAGATCAGTATCAGCATCTCATCTGAGCAGCGCAACATGGCTCACAGGACCAGCAATTCTTCAGAAACTACACTCACTTACACCAAAACCTCAAGAGATCTACGATTTTGTTGACCCCATCTGAGATTGTACAGGAGTGTACAGTGCTACGCAGAGGCGATCAGGTGCACTGAAACATCAACTAACCTTCCTCGTCATAGCAGACTGCGGAAGCTGCATTCTTTCATTGATAGCAATGGACTGCCCAGGGTCAGGGGTCGTATCACACAGTTGCAAGTAGGCACAGATGAAACTAACCCTATCGTTGTTCCAGACGATCACCATCTGGGGACACTCATTGTATGCCATCACCACCAGGCTGTAAAACACCAAGGGGGCATTTCACAGAGGGTGCTATCTGAGCATCTGGAGCTAAAAGAAGCTAAAAGAAGCATCAGTAGTTTATTAAGTGTGTCATCTGTAAAAGGCTTAACAGGAACGCAGAACACCAACAGATGACAGACCTGCCAGCTGAACAGTCACAAGTAGCACCACCTTTTTCTTATGTCAGTGTAGATGTCTTCGGGCCTTGGGAGGTGGTCTCCCGCTGCACCAGAGGAGGATATGACAATAGTAAAAGGTGGGCGGTTCTGTTCTCATGCATTGTTCTCAAGCAGTGTACATTTAGTTTCAGCATTGCCATGATGCAGTCAAGATGGTCCTACAATCTTGTTCTATCCGTCATTACAAGACTTGTTAGACGCACTGTCTGTAAGTGAATCTGTTAATTAGTACTATGTTGATGTAAAAAAAGGCATATTTTAAGAGTTTGTAGCAAACTGTTTACTTCATTAGTTGACAACATATGAATTTTTACAAGAAAGAAAGGAGACTTTTCAAGTAAATGCCAGAAACAGAATCCTGGTTCTCTTGGAATTATTTGAGT